AGGTATAGGATAGTGTGGATTTTTAAACATTTTTCTAATGGTAATGTTCAAAATAAGTGTCAAGGAAAGTAAGCATGATTGTTGGAAAAATTTTTATTTTGAATTCTCACCCTGACCTTCGCTTGGGCGAAGTGGGCGAAGGTCTGGATCCGCGTCTAGTTAGCATGAATTTTGTAAGCCAGGACCCATAGTGTTTTGTTACGTTTCTTCACAGAGTGGGGGGAAGGAACGAACCCCCACCCGCCGAACCCCCTGGATCCGCCACTGTGATTAGAATCAAATATAGAAATTAAGCTAACAAAAACAACACATCCAAAACAAGTTGGTTATATTAGGCCTGTATTGAAAAAAAAATGTAAATTCAAAAATTCGGCCAAATATAGTTTGGCCGTGACTTTTCAAACGTTACGGCCAGGCAAATTTTTATACGGCCAGATTTGAGGAATCTGGCCGTCAAAAAGGCCAAATGGCAACCCTGCTTCCGGCGGCGGGCGCAAGTGAGCTGCTTGCTCTTGAGGGCGAGCTCTCGAAGTCATTCAACCTGCGTCAACTCACGTCAACATTCGTCAATTCGCGTCAAACAAGATTGTAAATTTTCCCCGTCCCCCTCCCCCAATTAAGAAAGTGAAAAAAAAATTATTGATCGCCCAAAAACGCATCAGAGTTTATTTCCGGGCGTCTAAGAATTTTCCGGCTCTCGAAACCCCACCCCACTCCACCAGCCTCTCTGGATCCGCCCCTGAAGTAAATGTTATTAGTAGTTCTTATTGAAGGATAACTATGCCAATTATGGAGAGATAAACATAAGTTAGGCCTATCATCGTGCTGTTCAATACTTAATGATTACAAAAAAGATCGTTTTTAGCAAAATTTCTGCACGTCCGGCGAGGACGACAGCATCTCCCAGCTTTAGTGTTTTGCTGATAACAAATGACATTGTAGGCCTAAAATTATTTCTTATTATTCTCATTTAATATCTTTCTTATTATTTTGTTGTCGACATGTTGTTGTCGTTATTTTTATTGTTATTGCAACTATTAATATCAATAGGCCTATTGTTTTAGTGAATGTTGTGGGTGTTGTTGTTGTCGAAATTGATGTTGTATTTTATATAATACCAGTGCTTTTTCGACGTCATATAACCCGTTCTGAAATTATTATATTAGTTTATCTTTCGACTTAGAGCACCTAGCTACCACCCACCCTACAAAATAAAAAGAAAAATCGGTTTTAACCCGTTTAAAATCCTTCACTTGTTAGGCTTATTTTTTAGGGAAAAGAAAATAATAATTAGACCTATTATTATTATTATTATTATTATTATCATTATCATTATCATTATCATTATCATTATTATTATTATTATTATTATTATAGTAAAATGAAGGCCAATAAGACTGATACTTCGGGCAATAACAATAAATACATAATAAGTTGGTAATCAATTAGAATGCGTGCATAGAATGTCTTTGTACGATATTTATTCAAATCCAGAAGCATTGAATGAAGACCAACTTATTACGTCAAATTTCTCTTATAACTACAGGAAATTAAACTAGAAATTAGTAAACTAATAATCTTTGAACAGAAAGTAATACTACTACAAGTAAGTTGATCTTCATTCGCAGAACAATACATCGAGATGTAATTACTAGGCCTACATTCATTGACAATTTTAATTTGGCACTTAATGCCAAAAACTAATACACACAAAGTATTGAACCGGCGTCTTATTTGGCATGATGCGTTATGTAACTATAGAAACGTCAAGACATTTGGGTTTTAATTTAAATGTTCTGTTTGAAAAGTGTAATTCTAGATAACTAAATGAACACGATAGAAAAATACTCAAAGCAATCAGCATGAACCATCAGCAATCAGATATAGGACTATACATTCTTGAATAATAAAACAAATGGGAGGAAAGAGAAAATTAGCGAGTGCCATTTTCGACCATTTAGATGTGCCACTGACACAAACTTTGTTTCCTCAGCCGCGCCGGCCCCATTTATGTATTCATCTATTTATTCATTTGGCATCATTGCCATGGAGACGCAAAAGCAGAAAACTCATGGTTTTCGTCGGAAGGACGTGCGCTCCCTGTATGGTCGGCGCTTAGGTAATCTGGGTCATCTAGGCCTATCTGTAAAATTTCCTCGCCGAGTCCCCTCTATTTCAAATTTCTGGATCCGTCACTGCCAATGTACCTTGCACCTCCGCTTAAGCCCCGAACTTAGATATTGCTGCTAATTTCCCACAAAACGATTGTAAACGTACAATACCAAGCGTTTGTGGGAGTATGTGTTTGCGAGACAGTCCCGTAAGAATAATACGATTTCTTTTTCTAATTTATTTTCAATGTCATTCAATTGTAAAAACAAAAAAACCCATAAAACACACACATACACACACACACAACACAATAATATTACTAATAGTCCTACTGCCGATTAAATACAATGAATATGAATATACAATGAACCACAAAGGGTATCATAAAAATTAATGCAATAATGGTTTGTTTTTAGCAACATATGTACGAAATAAAAATATAAATAGAGATTATTTGCACAATCATACGTCTTTCTCATTCAATGAGAAAAAAAGTAAAAATATTGGCTAATCGATATAGATAAAGAATAACGATGGTCGATCGTTGAGTCTGCATTATTTACAAGTGACGTCATTTTTTCATGATTCTCATATCGGATTCCTCTTTCGATGACGAACAACTATTCTTATCAAAAGGTGTACAAGGTGTAACCAGAGGGTGTAACAAAATAAAATGGAGCTTTCGGTTGCACAACGCGGTAGGACGTAGAACTACCAAGACATCTGCGCAAGCGAGAACGTTAAGTTCGCCTCGTCTCGTGAATTCTGTAGGACACAATCTGATTTGACCAAACCTCGTTGAGCAGGGTACGTAGACGGTCAGCCACACATGAGTGAAATCCGTTCTTGCGTTACGTTCTCGCATTAGAGAATCTCGTGATGAAAATTAAACGGCGCATGCGTATATGCGAATTGCTATATATAAACACGACTTTGTACACTTTTATCTTGCACTCTGTTTTACATATGCGTGCTTTCTGTTTTATCGAATGATTTTACATCATTTAATCTCTTCATTCGGCCAGTCCTACGATTTAATGCGTCCATCGTCTAAAAAAGTAAGAAATAAAAAAGGTAATAGTGATAACAATATCTTGAACCCAATAATAAATGTAATAATTGTATAAAGATATTTATAGCATATAAGATTACCATGGCAAATGGCGGATCCACGAATTTGGAATAGAGGGGGCCCAAGAGGGACTTTCACAGTAAGGGACTAGACCTCAGCCTCACCATGATTGGGGCAGAGATGGGAACATTTATGATTATGGCCGAAAATGGCACTCTCAGACGTAAATTTTAATGTAATTTTCTTTTTTCTTCAATTTAAAATTTTTTTTTAAACCTTTGGGGGGGGGGGCGCTGGCTGCTCCCATTGAATCCGCCACTGATGGCTACCATGTTTACTGTATACCTTGTTGTCCTGCAAACAATACACTATGGAAATTGAAACACCTTGCAACGAGTTTGTGATGGCAAACATGTATTGAAAAAACAGCCGATCAGAGTCAAAAGCAAATAGAGCGAACATCCAGGTAAGTCCAAAGATTGGAATAAGAAACAACATCCCACGCAGAGCCTTCCTAAGAGTCGGAAAAAAAACTAGCGATATTGACTCGGACCACTTCATAATGATCTTTCTCATTAACCGTCATCATCCTTAACTACAACATCATCATCATCATCATCATCATCATCAACAAAAACATTTTATTTATCATAATAATAATAATAATAATAATAATAATAATAATAATAATAATAATGATGATGAATTTACCAACTCTACCACCAGAACAATAATAACAGTAGTAGATAGGCCTAATAATAATAATAATAACAATTGCAACTATTGTGAATTTCACAGTCATCATCCTCAACTACAACATCATCATCATCAACATCATCATCATCATCATCATCATCATCATCATCATCATCAACATCATCATCATCATCAACATCATCAACAAAAACATTTCATTTATCATAATAATAATAATAATAATAATAATAACAATAATAATGATGATGATGATGATGATGATGATGATGAATTTACCAACTCTACCACCAGAACAATAATAACAGTAGTAGATAGGCCTAACAATAATAATAATAATAATAATAATAATAATAATAATAATAATAATAATAATAGCAATTGCAACTATTGTGAATTTGTTTAATCAAATTTTCTTTTATAGTGATTTTATATTGTATATAAATGCTATTGTTATTGGCGTTTACACTTTTGGAGGTGAAGTAAAATAATAAAACAAAAAATAAAATAAATAAAAATGATGACAATAATAGCCGAGTCAAATACAATTTAACTTAATTTTGGTTGTCTAATTATAAGTAGTTTGTATTGGAGGATTTATTAATCGAACACTCCAACACCGACTTACTTCAATTGCTGGGTCTCTTTCTTATGCATTGCCTTTATCCCATTCCCAGCGGACCTGGAATCAAGCTGCTCCTTAGTTTTTTTCTTGATTTGCGTTTGTCCACCGCTTGACGATTCTAACGGATGTGACGACACCTTGCCTTTGCTTCGTTCGTATATCACATTGGCAGCTTTCAATGTTACCAGTATGTTGAACTGTGAATAAATATAATAACTAAAGTTCAGCAGTTTCCTCCGCCACCAGGGTGGATTTAGAGGGATGGGCTAAACAGGCTTCAGACCGTCAAACCCAAAAACTTTTACACCAAAATCAATAATAATAATAATAATAGCCTAGTCAGTTGGCCTAAATTTAAAGTTTTAGTTTATTAACCACACCCACCCTTATGTTGGTGCTGAGGTACTAAGTGATGAAGAAAGTTGATTAAACCATCTGACATTTTTGGTAGCCCCCCTCCCCTCACTACGGAAACAATAATGGATCAATTTAATAAGACCACTGCGGCGACCGTGGTTGCCATGCATGCAATGTTTTATTTATTGATACTTCAGAGCACCAAAACAAAAGTAACTAAACATCTACATTCGGAACCAACGTATGTACAGTTAATGCCTGTCCTTGTTTACAAGGACAGGCAACACCCACACACACCACGCAAACCCGCAGCATTACCATTACAATACTTAAGTTCATTCTCTAAGCATAAAAAAACCCAAAAAACATAGGCTTATGTATACACAGAATATGCTTTTCATCATTTTTCTCAATATAGACTACTTAATATATTATAGATAGTCATCATAATCCCACCACCATCATCAACATCGTCATCATTACATCGTCATCATGATCATCATTATCATCCTCATCTTCGTCATCAACAACAATAACACTATCTTTTATCACCTTTATCCTCCATCATCATTAGGCCTATATCATGATACTTAGGCCTAATTACTATTATTTTCAACATTATCATAATCATCATTTTCATCAAATTAATTAAAAAACTCAACGTCATTATAATTATCAATACCAACTAGCATTTTACGATACGTACAAGAAGTATCAAGTACATGGGCACCAAGAACGCAAAGATGGCACCATTAGCCACGTTCAGCCAACAGCTAAGGATTAAAGCAAAAAACACAATTATGAAAAATTATCACTTAGTGTTATGCCACTGCTATTTTTGTTACTAATTATTATATGTTGTCTTTTTTGTTGTTATTGTTACTCTTATAATTAAAGTAATTTATTCTTACATTTTGTCAGTCGCATAGTTGTTTAATGAGGATGCAATCGTGATTGTTACAATAATGGCGGGAATCGTGTAGCAGACGATCATGTAATAGCACAACTTGTTCCATTTGCTCGAAGTTTTTCTGACGACTTTGTCGAGTATGTAAACCGCCTCTGCAGCCATCCAAGTGAACATGCACAGTAATGAATAATGCAGAAATATAGCAATCGCACGACAACTACCCTGCAATTATAACGCAATGCTGACTAATTCAATATTCAATATAAAATCCTTTTACTGACTTATAAGTCACTGACTCTCAATCAACCCGCATACATTTATCAACTTCTTCCCAAATATGTGCCTGGCCGTTCCCTACGTTCATCTGATCTCAATTTAATTTCTGTCCCTCGCACCAACACTAAGACCTTCGGACACAGATCATTTTCATTTGCTGCAGCCACACTCTGGAACGCACTACCACTTCACATTAAAAAATCAACATCAATTGCTTTATTTAAAAAATCACTCAAAACGCACTCATTCCAACAATAACATGAAGCGCCACTGATAATTACTTCGGTTTTTTAAATGGCGCTATATAAGTTCTTACCTTATTATTATTAATTAGTAATCGTAAATTTCTAATTATTCGCTTCATCATCACCATCACTATCATGATGACCATTTATTATCATCACAATCCCCGCCATTATCAATATCGTCTTCATCATCATCATCATCATCATCATCATCATCATCATCATCATCATCATCATCATCATCATCATCATCATCATCATCATCATCGTCATCATCATCATTATCATCATCACCACCACCATCATATCTATCGTTATCACTATCACCAGCATTATCATCATCATCATCATCATCGACATCATTACCATCATCCAAATATAATTAAAAAAATAATGAACTAATGAAAAGTGCAAGCAAAGGTCACTTCTCGTAAAACTTTACCGTATCCTCAGTGTGATTGGCACCAAAGATAAACAACGCATTGAAAACGATCATACAGGCGACAAGATTCTTATGGATATTGTTTCGAAGGCAATTCCACAATTCCCTAAATTAATAAATAAATAATAATGCGCATATTAAAGTAAGCCTATTGGTAAATCAAATAAAACGAAAAGTTTCTAGACTTTCACAACATAATATTATGGTGATAATAGTAATGTTCATAAACACGTAAAATGGGAGGTTTCTAAGACATATAATTTTCGAAATTATATTTTGTACACAGAACGACATTAACTCACTTTTGAATTTTAACACTTTCTAAAACACAACCAGAATTGATAAAAACAGGACAGATGACTTGATCAAAATACGTGATAACAAACAGAATAAAAATGTCACATAAAAAAATATGCCAGAATAAAGATGCTAGTAGTTATTATAATGAACCACTCTGTATAATCGCCTTTGTACTTAGTATTAATTTGAAATGGGAAAGAAGTGATGGGTCCTCGCGTTCAAACAAACACATTTGGCCAGAGGCACCAAATGTACTTTCATTATTCAACAATAGACAGTAAAATGACAGTCAGCACTTTATAGACTAACAAATATTTATTAGCACACAAAGCTAAAAAAAATAGATTATTTATCCACCACCAGGCTGTATAACTAGCAATTTTATCCAAGGACCTACTTCAGCGGCTAAAATCGACCCGGTGGACCGATTTTAGCGGGCAAAAGTAGTCCGGCGGACAGACTTTGGCGGCCAAACTGTTTGCCGGACCTTTTGGCCCGGACCAATTTTGGCGTGACAGGCACAGTCACCTGAAGAAGTTCACTGTCAGTGAACGAAAGCTTGTGCTATTAAATATTTGTTAGTCTATAAAGTGCTGCCTGTCATTTTACACTCTATTACATAATACCAGACTAACACGGCTGCCCCACTATTTCATTATTTAACAAAATTACATATTATACATTATTTAATATATAATTCAACATTGATTCATTATAAGGTTTACATATAGGCCTAGGTAGTTTTGCTTCCAAATTTAGGCCTATATATAAATCATTGGTGGAGCGATTTTCCTTAGTTACAAATAATACGATGTTCAAACAATTATTGATGAATAAATTACTATAAAATCATTATTCATAGGCCTATATAATGACTTCGGCACTTCAAATATTTATAAATAATGTTTTGTTAATTTAAATTATATTTTTTTTATTTATTTATAATGAAAGTACATTTGGCGCCTCATAAGGATTGAGATACATATTTTGTACAGAATAGAATTTAAATGTAAATGACTTGCTATAGGCGTAAGGTGCTATATAATAACGTATTGTTATTATTATTAATAGTAGTAGTAATAATATATTCTTCAACGTTGTAATTAGGTTATTATGTCTGAAAAAACGTTAACACAACGTGTTGCAACAGTTATTAGGACAGAAACGATCATAATTACGAATTTACGGTTGTGCAAAAAAAAACATTTGACGAATATTTATGCCTCGCATAGAAAATAAATAAATTGTGAAATGTTTGATATAGCAGTGTTGCGCATGCCCGCGTCAACTTGATTACAGTATTTAACATTTCAGAAGTACAAACTGATCTTATGCTTACCAGAGAAAAATGTAGACAGATAGTGTGATGAGTAAAGCCAGTAGTGAAATCGAAAGACCAATTATTGTGATATAATTAAGCACGACTTCATGTACGCCCGAGGGCTGAAAAATATATCAAAACTACAATTATTCTACCATCATAAAATACTGTATATTGCATATATAAACAAGATCGGCCTTAATCCGAGAAGCAAACAGGAATCCAAATTAATGGATCTTGATCATGTGCTGATTGTAATATAAAATACAAGTTATAATTGTAGGCCCCCGTGGTTCTACGTTGGTCGACAGTCGCCATACCACAGGACGAATGAGATAGACCTGTTTCCATCAAGCACACACTGAAAACATCAGGACATAAATTTGCAATGAGTATTAGCTGGAAATTGTGGTTCTTATTAATTTATTTCATACCTCATTCTCGGTAATTTGAACAAGCATTGCAAAATTGGTGGTATGGTTGCAGTAGCATATCACGTGATCAACTGTCTCGTCAACGGTTGTACATCCATCCATGGAAAATAAGCTAGACCAAATGAAACGAGTCCAATATTCCTTACATTATGGTAATAGTATTACCGTCAATAAATCCACCAGGAAGTTAATAATTGTAATGTTAGGCCTATATAATGATGTAATATGGAGATTCTGTAAAATCACCAACAGGTTAAATTTGCAATTGAGCATGCGCATTGTCAGATTAGAAATTAAAAATCATAGGCGGGCTTATACAAACCTTTGAGATTCATTCCAAAAACTGCAAACTCGCACCGCTTGGTCGTTGTCTTTTAACGTAAAGCTGGACAGAGTCTTTAAATAATCAAACAAATATATTTTCAGTAGACCATATATAAGTTTTATTAGTTAGATGATAAACACTTTGAATAACAATATATCTAGGCTAAACTATTATTTGGCATAACCCCCATTTTCTAGCGAAATCCTGATATATAGCGAACCATCACATTCCCGTTGCATAAAATTATACAGACGCACATGCGAGAAAAGGCACCCTATAACTCCATAGCCATTATATTAAAGGGGGTGGGGAGCTTAAAATTTGTTAAATTGGCTCCTCACAACTAACCACTGATACCGTACAGGATTTTAAAGGGGAATTTGCTCTCCCGTCGGACAGACTTGGACCCGCCGGGACTCCGACCGAGACTGGCAGTTGGCCTTGGTTCCGACCCCTCCGTCGGCTTGAGCCAACGCTGCTCAGAAGCAGCCTCAAGCTTTTAATTTAGCATGGAAATAAAGCCTATACCCCCTCAGCCCAAACATGTTTGAGGCAGAGATATAGGGCACTCTATTCTTACCGGTATGACTCAAGAAAAACTTTAGGCCTATATTCACAAAAGAGACAATAAAGGCGCTATACGCAATGTACCTAATGCTAAGCAATATATTTCCTCCATGGCTTAAGTGTGGGCCCAGAAAAAGCAGGTTAAAAATGCTATATATGGAAAGTAGTAGCATGACTCAAAATAATGACCAAATCACAATTCGTAGACCTATTATTTTAAATCATGTGAATAAGACAAAATGTAAGTCTATTGCGAAAATGATAAATTGTTCAAAATTAAATTTCTTTTCAACAATTAGATGCATTGAGTTCCTTATCCTCCATGAATAAATAAAGAGCAAGGAACAAGAACACATTATAATACACTGAAAACAATGACTTCATATTAAATTTTACATAAGGTGCAGGTTATTGCAAAATATTAGGGCGATATTAATAATATTGACATTAAGTGGACTAACCTCACTCGAATGCTTATACGTGAGTGTGATGTCACTTGATAGTGGCGTGTAGTCGGGACCAACATAAAGAGTATAACTCAATAAACCACTAACCATATAATACACGCCGATACCACTGCTGTGAGAAAATAGAAAATCAATCTTGTTAACTATAATTATATTTTTTTATTAATATTAAATTATTACTAGTACTAATGATAATAATAATTCCTCTAATTAATTGATCAGTGGCGGATTAAAAGGGTGCCCAGTCAGCTGGGCCCCCAAAAATATATTCCAAGTCAGGCAGGCGTGATGAAAATTTCACCTACCACCCCCGGAAATTCATTTCCTTATACAGTACCGAAAATGCATCAGAATCTGCATTTTCCCTTAAAGGCCAACTCAGACAGCGTCGGCCGACGCAGCCCGACCCGATTTATCGTCGGAGACAGTCTTAAGCCGTCGTGAGAAATATTAAACACGTTTAATATTCTACTACGCGACTGCCCCCGACGCACACCATCGCGTCTGCGTTCAACTCACACAGACCCGACGCGACAACAAATCGCGTCGGGCGTCGTCGGTCGATGCTGTCTGAGTTTCCCTTTACATCTCAGGTAGTCTCTACACTATTTGTTCACACTGTACGCGTCCTTTGCGAATGAAAAAACGACACAGTGCCGGTGCAGTTAGCTGGTATCATGATATTTTAAGTACTGTAGATCGAGAATTTTTAGAAAGAAGAGGGATACAAAAGCCACAAAAATTACATATATTTTTTTCGGAAAGTAACATTTATTAATTTTTCATTATCATAATAAAATCAAATATACAAAGACAAATAAATAATAATATTGATAGAACAGAAGTCATCATATCAAGGATCAAAATGAAAGGTTTCCACAGAAACTATACGGTAAAGCTTGTACAAATTGGAACCAAAATTCAATTATACAAATAAGATTCAAATTATTGTGCGGTAAGCAGTAAACGGAAAACAGGATGTCTGGTATACATATTTCTGTAAATTATCTTATTTCTTTTTTGTTTAATTATTTGATTTCATGGCATTACATGTATGCGTGAGATTTTGGTCCGCGTGAGAGCGTGATGAGACAGACCCAAAATGCACGATTTACGTTGAGACTTGGTGTGTATGTAAGTCGCAATTTGTTAATTTTTACTTACTCGCTGATGTTGACAGGTTGATCAAATGAGTCCGTCTTCCAATAAACTGAGTAAACTACGACGTCTAAATAAAAATATTTGTTCAGTTACCGTTAATACATCCGGGTAATTGTATAATATGTTGTAATATCAGTTTATTATTAAATTAATATAGCTTGATTAATTTATTGATTAATTTACGGAATGGTTGACTGATTACTGATTGATTTATTGCATGATTGACCGATTGATTGATTGATTAATGGAATGATGGGTGGAGGATAGATGTGTGAATGGATAATGGATGAAAATAACCAAAATATAGATGGATCGATAGATTGATGTTGGGTAGGAGAGGTGTAAATATGGATAGGTATAGACTATAGATAGTTGGTGGATTTATTTAATGATGTATGCCGGACGAACGGACAAACGGATGGTTGGCTTTACTGGATGCATGGAAGAATGGATGTATGAGTTGGTTTGAATAAGTACAGTATATAAAAACAATAAGCCAATTCGTAGTTTAAACTGCACATGCCCCTATCAAAGGTCAATCGACAAACACATGTTGTGTGGAGGGGTTGTGTGACCTTGATACGGGTATGCTCAATTCAAACTATCAAACTACGATTGGCTTATTAGATGTACCGTCGTGGTTCGCTGTAACATTGATGTCAATCTGGAACACACCATTTTGCTGTAGTGATTTCGAAATGGTAACATTTGTCGCCAATGGTTGACCAGTAGGATTATGCCTATACCGTGTAATATGTCCATCTGTCAATTATTATAGAAGCACAGTTAAATTTCATTAAATGGTAAAGCTAAAGCCGGACACTCACTGCGTCGTATGCTATCTTAGTGCTAAACGTGCGACGGAGCCTGCTGATTGTCGGTGGCAATCTGAAGGGATCATCATTAAAAAACAATCCGTTGCGCGCGCGTCGTGGCGTTGCGTTCTCCATAGAATCGCATCGGCCGACGAAGTTGAGTGCCCGGCTTAACAATGATGATGACAATGGTGGTGGTGGTGATAATAATAATGACGATTATAATATGGTCTAATCGCAGTTGTCCATTCTTGATTATAGTTCAGGCAGCAGGTCCTTTTTGTTTAAAGGGGCTTTGGATTCTTACATTTTCAACATCATTGGCTGGATTAATTCGGACTCAAAAAAATTACTTGCGTATGCAGGATTGCAGGTTACAACTCACCACATGAATCCGAAGATACCTGAAATGGTGACTTAGGTTGCTTCAAAAATTCTGACATAAACTTTTGTTCTTCCTTAGTAATTCTTTGTAACTGTATGTCTAGTTCATCAATCTATGAAGATTCGATAAAAAATAGCCATATTATTAAATATGGCAGTGGTTATTTATCTCGTTGAAAGCCTTTAGTTCATAGCATTTTCGTGATAGTGAGCATACGCAAACCTTAAATAAGATACAGTGTGCGGTATTTGAATTGTCATGGTGTACGCCTTCAACGTGCTTCACTCGATTTTGTGATTATAAAGACATATAATGTATACATAACAATGCAATAAATCACAATGCCTTGAGAAAAACGTGTTTTAAAGGGAAATCCACTGAGCCTTTTTGGTATTGGGTTCGAAAACCGATGGGGATGCCATGCCATAAACCTACATAGCTCTCTCCACACTTTCATGTTATGTGATCTCCAATCTCAAAAAAATCACAGGCAGTTGTTAAATAAAACTTGATAGTGTAGAACCTATGGAACGCCGTTACTGCCTTTGGTGGCTCTTTTCCGTTCGGCGCATTTGTTATTCGGCCCTTTTAACATTACGTTCGGTGCTTTTACATTACGTTCGGTGCTTTTTACATTACGTTCGGTGCTTTTTACATTACGTTCGGTGCTTTTTACATTACGTTCGGTGCTTTGAACATTACGTTCGGTGCTTTTACATGACGTTCGGTGCTTTGAACATTACGTTCGGTGCTTTTACATGACGTTCGGTGCTTTTTACATGACGTTCGGTGCTTTTATTAACATTACATTCGGTGCTTTGAAACATTACGTTCGGTGCTTTTATCATTACGTTCGGGGCTTTTGCCGCACTTACGGATCTTTTATCATTTGGTGCTTTTTAGTTTTAGCTTTCGGCCCTTTCATCATTACGTACGGTTCCTTTATCATTCGGTACTTTCATGACCTTTGACATCGGGTCAAGTGGAAAAAATCAACGGCTGTGGGAACGAGCCTAGTGGAACTCTCTCTTTCTTCGTGCCGCCGTCGATCGTTGACAAGCGAGGAAAGACAATGGCCAAATCTATTAGTATTGAAGATGCCTTGAAAAAAGTAGACTTGATTCACCTTCTTCCGAATTTTGAAAGAGAAAAGGTAAACTTTTATGCCTAGCTAGGCCCTAGCCCTATGCCTAGGTACCTGGCCCTAGGCATAGTAGCTAGTAGTAGGCATGCCTATGATGCCTAGGCCTAGCTCTATTACTAAATTAGATATGATTATGAAGCAGTGTGTGTGGCGGGGGGAGGGGATAATTTTCTTGTCCTCCCAGTTTAGGCTACGTACAGCCTAGGCAAGGCCTAGCTAGACTAGATCTAGATTCCTCCTAGTCTAGGAGGGTAGGCAGGTACACATCTAGATGTGTATAAGAGACAGTGCTAAAGTAGTAGTAGTACTGTATATTTGCAGGCTTCCCAATTTATAAAAATAAAATAATGTAAAGGCCCTAAATAAATAAATATAAATAAATAAATAAAAGTAATACAAATTCGGTAGGCCTAGGGCCTAGGTAGTAGTAGGCCTAGGCTAGGGAGCACTTGCCTGTTTTAATATAAAAAATTGAAGTATTACTATTGATTAACAATCAAAATAATAAAAGTTATAATTAAAGAGCTATAAAGTAACAGAAATATAACAAGAATAAAATAGTTCTGGTATGTGTTTAGGCCCTAATCAGTATTCACACATTGCTATTAGGCCTAGTGTCAGTGAGTCTTAAATTTGAGATTTTGCAAGAATTGTTTTTTTCCAAAATAGTATAAATAAGTACACATAAAAATAAATTTAACAAGTAAA